CAACTAGTCCTCCAGTGAACTCGACCAGTACTCCAGCCCACAGTGCTACCTCAAACCCAGCTTCCAGCCCTCCGGTGGACTCAACCAGCACTTCCATCCAAACCACCAACGCCATATCAGGTTTAGCTAGCACTCCAATCCACAATGGCTCCTTGGTCCCAACTAGCAGATCTGCATTGGGCTCAGCTACTAGTCCAGTCCACAGTGGTACCTCAACTATAACGAATAGCTCTGACTCCAACTTGGCCACCACTCCAGTTTACCGTGGTACCTCTATCTCTACTATCAAGGCTACATCAGGCTCAGCCATCCTCCCAGGCCACAATGGCTCCTTCGTGCCAACCACCAGCTCTGTATTGGGCTTAGCCACCAGTCCAAACCATAATATCTCTGCAATGGCTCCTACAACTCCAGTTGTCAATGGCACTCAATCTTCAGTTCTAAGTCAGCACCCTGTCACTCCTACCACCCTTGCCACTTCAGGCAACAGCACCGTTGTCAGTAGCACTTACTTTTCCCTACTTTCTACTATGGCACTCTCCCCTACCTTCTCCAGTACTAGTTCGCCTCAGCTGTCTGTTGGGGTCACTTTCTTCTTCTTGACTTTTCACATCTGGAACCACCAGTTTAACTCTTCCCTGGAGGACCACAGCTCCAACTACTATCAAGAACTGAAGAGGAACATTTCTGGATTGGTGGGTATTAGCCTGGTCTTCCCAAGTAGCTCTTCAGAACTGCTTGAATCTTTTGCATCAAACTTGTGTCTTCTCCTCTTATCCCTCTAATCTCAGTTTCTACAGATTTTTAACCAAGATTTTCTGGGGATCTCTACTATCAAGTTCAGGTACAGTTGACTTGTGGGAAGGATGGACAGTCTCATGGCTTTGTGATGTCGGGGGAGAAAGGCAGAGCCATAAGCAGAGACCTGTGGCTGAGCCGTCTATTTCCTGTGAGCAGGTCAGGCTCGGTGGTGGTAGAATCAACTGTGATTTTCCAGGAGGGTGCTGTCAGTGCCTCTGAGGTGAAGTCACAGCTCATACAGCATGAGAAGGAGGCAGAAGACTATAATCTGGCTATTTCAAAAGTCAATGGTGAGGCACCACCGCACAGTGCAGGGCCCCAGCACCTGTTGACTTTGGGTGCTAAGAGTGGGTTCCCTGACCACTGTTCTCCCTTTTAGTGAAGGAGATGCAGTTCCCTTCCTCTGCCCAGTCTTGGCCTGGGGTACCAGGTTGGGGCATTGCCCTGCTGGTGCTGGTCTGTATTTTGGTTGCCCTGGCCGTCATCTACCTCATTGCCCTGGTAAGTATCCGGCCGTCAGCAGTGTGCCCCTGGTAAATGGGATCCCATGGGCCATATAAGCTCCTGTCTCCCTAGGCAGTGTGCCAGTGCCGCCGAAAGAGCTATGGGCAGTTGGACATCTTTCCAACCCAGGACACCTACCATCCTATGAGTGAATATCCCACCTACCACACCCATGGACGCTATGTGCCGCCTGGCAGTACCAAACGTAGCCCCTATGAGGAGGTAAGCTGTGTCCTACATGTTGGGGCAGGAGCCTTGGTTGGGTGGGGGTTTCTGTGAAAAGGTATTTGGGAAACCTGAGCTTCAGAAAGGTGGGCAGTAGATGGCCTAGCAAGGTTGGGAATGGAGGTAGAGTTGTGGGGGTCAGATCTTGGGAGACTATCAGTCTTCCCCACAAAGTTTTGCCCTGTACTGCTGAATTCTGAGCTGTACCAGAGTGTGCTCATGGGATGCCGAGAGGTGAAGCAAGATACTGTGCCCAAGAGCTCTGCCTGCAGGAGTGAACATCCATGTTACCCTCTCCTCCTAGTGGTTAGAGAGTGGATACAGAAAGCGGGGCCGGAGGGGGGGGGGGCTCAGATGTCTTTGAAAAGAAGTTTCTTCTAGTGAAATGAGTCGACTAAGGTAGTTCTTGGGAGTTTTAGGAAAGTGAGGATCCCACCCTCTTCCCTCACTCTACCTTCCTCTACAGGATCTAGTAAATAATTACTGTGGCCACCTGAGACCCAAAGACCAGTGGGTGGGAAAAGACAAGAGCTTCCTTTTTTTGTCCCATTTTCTTCTTCCTATGGAATCTCTACACACACACACACACACACACACACACACACACACACACACACAGCCCTTTGGACCAGAGGATCAAAAAAATAAAAGGAGAGAGAGACAGGAGGGGCCTACAAGAGGGCTGGGGACTTATAGCCCAGGGGAGGGGGAAGAAGTGCATGCCTGCTGTGTTTACAGTCACCTGGCTGATCCAGGGCCCCAGCCAGGTGCACACTCTGAATTAACCCCTTAGAACCTGCCAGGGCCCTAGCCTGGGATACCATCAGGGTTCTACCTGCTAGATTTTTTTAACCCTGAATTTATTTTCCCTCCACTCAGGTTGCTGCAGGTAATGGCAGTAGCAGTCTGTCTTACACCAACCCGACAGTGGCAACCACTTCTGCCAACTTGTAGGAGCAAGTCACCCCACCTGCTCAGGAGGCAGCTGCTCTCTCTGTTGTCACTGCCAGACCCCTGCACTTTGATGTGGGCTGGTGAGCCTGAATTCCTTGTAGGCTGCTCAAGGCCTTCCTCAGAGGCTCTGTCAAGTACCTGGACCATGTTAGCCTGGTGAAGCCCAGCCCTGCCCTGGGGAACACTGGGACAGTAGAGTAGTGGTGGCTTTCAGAAGGATTGGTCTAGAAAGCCTGGAGATGGGGATGGGAACTCAAACATGGCTGAATAAAAGGTGGCCTCCTGCTAGTTATGCCAGCGGTGGTTCTTCATATACAACTCATGGATCAGAGCAGCCAGAGAGTGTCTGTGAGGGGCCTGGAAAGGGTCTAGGGTTGAAGATTCCCAAAGGCAAGGAGGCACTCGGAGGGGTGAGTGCATTTGAAAAACAAAACATGGATGCAGGGAAGAGGTGGCCTGAGAGAGAACCCAGAAATTGCCTCTTCTATGCCTGGAGGCCCTGAAGGAAGGAGGAAACAAAACCTAGGCTGGCTCCAGTGGGCCTGCCCCTGACCTGGCTTCAGCCCATGCCCATGACTCTCTCTTCTGAGGCCAGCTCATGTCCCTCTCGGCTGGCACAGTGCCTTTAAGGCAGCTCTATTCTTAGCTGTCCAGGTGTGAAGCAAATCCTTGGACCACAGATAACAGTGGCAGAGTCAACACAGCCATGATAAGCCAGGGCTGGTACAGATCCGGGTGCTGCTGGCACCAGGCCCTGGCCCTCAGCCACCCCAACCGCCACTGCCTCTGAGGGTGGGTTCTCTGGCACCCCGGGAATGGGGAAGTGGTTCTAGTTCCCTGACCCCTTTGGGCCCAGACAACATGCCACACCCTCAGCCACATCCCCGCAGGGTCCAGTGCTGTAGTCCAAATGCCTAAGGTGGAGCTCTAAGCTGGCAATCAGTGCTGCGCCCTCTGGTGGTGAGTCAGCTGGAGCCCTGGCCTTAGGCGTGGCAGGAGACTGTCAGCACTTAAGTTAGGGACCTCCTTTCCTTAGGTCCCTTTCCCATGCCACAGGACTGGAAATTACCAGGAATGGTCACACTCTGGGAAAACAGAAATGTGCCTGGTGTCACAGTTTATTGTTTATAAACCATAAAAATTACAGCTCAGCACAGGCCTAGCAATGCCCACTGCAAGGAGGCAGTAGCAGGCATCAGAGGCCTAGCTTGGCTCAACCCAATGGGGACAACAGCCTCAGCTGGGTTCCCAAGGGAGACTTGGCACATTGGCATGGGTGCAGGATAGGTAAAGCATGCAAGAAGAGGGACAGAGGGACATGCAGCTGAAGGGTTAGGGATCCAAATAAAGTAGGACAGGCTCTCCTTCCTCTCACTGAGGAGGCTCGAAGCCTGGCTGCCAAGGCTGTAGTTCAGCATCAATGGGGCAGGGGACTTGGCAAGGCTAAGGGCAGTGTTGTCAACCATACCCAGTGTTCCAGGCATCCTGCCTCCCAATAAGCCTGGAGGGGGCACAGTACAGGGATGGCATAGGGGCTTTCTCTGCCTTGGTTAAGATGTCACGAGCAGGGCCTGGAGCAGAGACTGAGTGGGCCTGGGGGCCTAGGCCAACAGGTAACACAGAATGAAGAATATCCAGAGGTTAGCAGAGGAGCATCCCTTAGTGAAGGGAGCCCTGGGAAGACACAGCTGGCAAGGGACAGGGCAGGACCACATGGTCAGAAAAAGTTTCGGGGAGAAGTGCTGGGTAAACAGCCCGAGGTCTGGAGGCTTAGGGAACAGAACGTAGATCTGGGGGAGAGGCCTGAAAGGTTCAGTCCAGCTTGGCAAAGCCTCCAATGGTGACTTTCCTCTCAGGCTTGGTGCCCACCGGCTCCTGCAGCTGTACGGCACCACCCCCGATGAAGCAGAAGGCAGGGCACACAGGCCCTGAGCAGTCCAGGGGGCACTCCAGGAGCCCACGGAAGGACACAGCATCCAGAAAGGAAACCCGGCCCCGCTCATAGTCCAAGCAGATACCCAGGCGGGGTGGCAGGGGCACTGTGCAGCTGGCTGCTGGGCCATCCCTCCCTGTGAGCCCTGCATTTGAACTTGCTCCGGAACCCAGCAGGATCTTGCCCATGCCGATGGTCAGGAAAGCAAAGGGTGGCAAGGCCTCCACTGTAGCATCCTCAGCACCACTGTCATGCCCACTGTCCGGGTCATATCTGTAGGAGTGGGAATTCAGAAGGAAGAAGTTGGGAGGAAAGGAATGGGGGGAGAGATCAAAGAGCTGTAGTATTCGAAGGATTAAATTTTGGGGGACAAGAGGTTACATATATTAGGTGAACACATGTTGAGGATGCAAGGGCTAGAATGTAAGACTTGAGGCTTTAGTTAGTGTAGGAAAGCAATAAGGAAAGCAAAGTGCCTAAGAAAGGTGTTACAGGAAAAGAAGACAGGATGCTGCTACAGCACACTAAAGAAATGTGGCCCTTGTCAGTATAAAAGGTGCTGAGGAGAGTGGTGCTAGGGAAATCAGGTTAGGGATACAGTTTTGACAGTGGAGGATGTCGGAAGGATGGGAGCACAGCAATTAAGGTGCAGTGAGGGGTGTGGGGCAGGAGTAGAGCATGGATGTTGAAAGATGGTGTTAAAAAAGGGATGAAGATGAATTGGTATCAGGATGTTAGAGGGATACATGAATGAGGACAACAAAATTCAAAAGGGAATTTGTGTTGGGGAGAAGGCATTTTGAAGAAATGGGATGCTGAAGGGTAGAGGACTCAGGAGAAATAATTCAGGAGGGAAATGTGGGAAAAGATGTTAATGAAACATTGGAGGCAAGGGAGGGCTGTAGAGGTGTGTTTGAGGGAAGAACTTGGAGATGTTGAGAATGAGGTAGGTTTCAGAGAGAAAACTTTTCATAGAAACAAGGTGCTTGGGAAAGGAGGTAGGAGCTTAGATAGGTGGTATATTGGTCCTGAGTGACAGACAAAAGAGGGCCCTCTCTCAACCATTTCTGCAGCCACACACACTGAAAACCAGTCCTCAAAGCTCCTGCCAAGGGACCGCTTCCACACACAAGCATCCCAGCCTGGCTTTCATGCTACTTGCTCTTGCCCCTTCCCAGCCCCAACTAAGCAGGTCTGCGTTCCCTTCACCACCCTTGCCAACCCCAGCTCCTTCCCCAGGGCTTTGCTCCCCACCCCTTGCAGAAGGGCCTGACCTGGGGCTGATCACATCCGGGGCACCCTGGAAGCTTTCCTGAAGCTTGCTCTCCAGCCCGACGCCCACCTTGACCAGGTAGGAGGCAGGGTCTACGGCACAGGCCCAGTAGCTGCGGCCCTGAGTCACAGCCACATCACCCAGGACCACGTCCACACTCAGGTGGCAGCCTGTGAGCAGCCGCTCAGCAGCCAGCAGCAAGGGAAGCCCCGGAATACTCCGCACCGCTCGCTGGTCCTTGCTGATGGCTAGCCGTTCTCGGCTTGCACCCCAGCGGCCATCAAGGAAGAAGTGCAGGACTACAGGCAGGAGGTTAAGACAGAAGGAAGGGTTTCAGGGACATACACTGGCACTGGGGATTGTGGGGCTTCAGAACAAACACTGGGAATTTTGGGCACAGGGAACAAGTTGTCAAGGGGTTCAGTTACTAGCAACTGGCAGGGGCCCAGGAAACTAGGGCATGGCAAACTGAAATAGAGACATAAGGAAGAAAGGAGCATCCCAAATGGACATGGGGTGCCAGGAGTAGCTGCAGTGATGACTGGTGGGCAGAGAAAACAGTGTCCCATCTCTAACTGACTCAATGTTTCTGCAACCCATTCTCCATGATTTGCCCTGTGGACCATCTCCACTACTGTCCTATTCTATCTGGTCGCATTCCTAACACCACTGACCTGCACCTCCATCCCACACTCTGGTGCTCATACCTGGCCCCTAAATCCAATCCTGTCTTTTTTGCCCTTTACCCAAGCACTGAATACACTTGGCAAGCCACTTCTCTAACACCGGCTGAGCCCTTACTATGAGTCAGAAGCTAAGCCCTTACATGTCCCACCTTATAATGGTTTAATTATCAAACTATACTGTTAAATATTAAATATGACCTCTGTAGAAGGGGGGCTCTGAAATCAAGAAAGAGAAAAATGTCAAGGGGCAAACCCAGGCAGTCTACCACTAGAGGAAGTGACTGTAATCCACACATTAAATTGCACATTGTATTAAATGGCTTTTCCGGTGTCTGTTGGGAATGAGCTGTGCACCTGGGCCACCCTGTACCCTCTGTGTGAACATCTGCATTCACCACATGAAGCCACCTGTATGTGCACTCACCAGGCGCTGGAGGTGTGTGGAGGTGCACGTCTTCACTGTACTCTCCATAGCCAGCTTTGTTGCAGCCACGGACACGCAGCACATACACAGAGCCTGTGTCAGGGTTCTCAAGAAGGGCACTCGTGCCCCTCACCTCCTCCCGTCGCTGCCATCGTGTAGGGCCCGGCTGGGCAGGGACATCTGTGCGCCGGAACTCAACAGTGTAATGCCAGGCAGGTGGTGAGTGAGGGGGGAGCCGCCAACACAGGAAGATTTGATCATAGGCGAAGGTGCGCTGGGTGTCAATGACAGGAGCCTCAGGCACTGTTGGAAGAGACAACAGGGGTCATCAGGGCCTGGCCACCAGCCTGGCAGGGAGAGTGGGGCAGGCAGGAGAGGGAAGCAGCGGGAGCCGGGGGGTGAGTGTAGGTGAGGGAGCTGGGGAAAGGAAGCTTCTAAGCCCTGGGTGGGCAGGACAGGGCCCAAAGGAGAAAGGAGCGGGCGAGGGCTGGGCAGGGCACAGGAGCCCAGACTCTGTTCCTAGCTTGCCACTACCCTACTTTGGCCTGAAGTGAGCCACTTTCCCTCTCTAGGACTAGTTTTCTCTTTAGTCAAATGACAACATCAGACCAAATGAGCTCTGAGAACTCTTACAGCTTAGATTGTTTGAATTAAGAGGAGCCCCAGAAGGAGGCAGGTAAAAGGCCACTGGAACCCAGGCAAGAGAGCCCTGAGCAGGAAGGGATGCATAAGGGATGTATAGGGTTGGGAAGGAGATACCAGGGAAGCAAGACAGAAAATAGGCAGCAGAGAAGAGCAAGCTTGCTAGTAGGGCAGTGCATGTAGGTCAAGAGGAAGAGAATGAAAGTCCAGAGGGCAAGGGTCAAGATAAAAAAAAAAAAAGGTCAGAAGGACCAGGACTATGCAATAGCCTAAAGAAGACAGAGGAGAGACAGGGCATTTGTGGAGTGGGAGGACCAAGAATTCAGGGTGCATA